GCCCCTCACAGCTCCCAGCCTGACCTCCGACGAATCGTGGAGCTGCCTGCACCTGCCGACTTCCTCAGTCTGAGTAGTGAGACCAAGCCCAAGTTGATGACACCTGATGCCTTCATGACACCTAGCACCTCTCTGCAGCAGGTACTCTCCCAGGGTAGGGGGACCTGTGAATGCCCCAGCCAGAGGCCACAGCTCTCATTCTCTGCATCTCCCCAGATCACTGCCTCTCCCAGCAGCAGCAGCAGTGGTAGCAGCAGCAGCAGCAGCAGTAGCAGCAGCTCCCTTACAGCTGTGTCTGCCATGAGCAGCACCTCAGCTGTGGACCCCTCTTTGGCCAGGTGAGGCAAGGGTCAGAGATGGAGGATGGCAGGGGCTGGTGCCAGGTGATGCCAAGCTCTGGCTGCTGACACCTCAGTCTTCCCCCACCAGGCCACCTGAGGAGCTGACCTTGAGCCCCAAGCTGCAGCTGGATGGCAGCCTGGCAATGAGCAGCAGTGGCAGCCTGCAGGCAAGCCCACGTGGCCTCCTGCCCAGCCTGCTCCCAGCCCCAGCTGACAAACTGACTCCCAAGGGGCCGGGCCAGGTATGTGAATGGGTGTGCGTGAAGTGTGGGCAGCAGGTGGGTGGCAGCAGGAAAGGTGGGTGGTGGGCTTCTCCCAGCCCCCTGCTGCTGGTCCTGCTCTTCCCTACGTAGTCCATGTTTCCCTGAGGTCATCTCATCCTCCTATGTTTCCTGGAAGGTTTCTCCTCAGCCTCCCTGTCCCCACTTCCTCTTCTGGGCTATGGCCCCGTTTTTGACTATCCCCACTTCCCTGCTGCCCTGTCTCTCATTACTACTAATACTAGTGCCTCATCTCTGTGTCCCCCATCCCTGCCTCACCTGTCACTTAAGCCCCCATCTTTGGCCCACCTTAGGTGCCTACTGCTGCCTCTGCACTGTCCTTGGAGCTGCAGGAAGTGGAGCCCCTGGGGCTCCCCCAAGCCTCCCCCAGCCGTACCCGCTCCCCTGATGTCATCTCCTCAGCTTCCACTGCCCTGTCCCAGGACATCCCTGAGATTGCGTCTGAGGCCCTGTCCCGTGGCTTTGGCTCCTCTGCACCAGAGGGCCTTGAGCCAGACAGTATGGCTTCAGCTGCCTCAGCATTGCACCTACTGTCCCCACGGCCCCGGCCAGGGCCCGAGCTCGGCCCCCAGCTTGGCCTTGAAGGAGGCCCTGGGAACGGAGATCGGCATAATACCCCCTCCCTCCTGGAGGCAGCCTTGACCCAGGAGGCCTCAACCTCTGATGGTCAGGTTTGGCCCACGGCACCTGACATTACCCGTGAGACCTGCAGCACTCTTGCAGAAAGGTGAGGAGCTTGGGAGGAGAAAAGTATGCTAGCTAGGAGGAGGCTTTAGGAGGGGCTTCAGATAGAATCATCCACTGCTGAGTCGGCCTGTCCCCCAGCCCCAGGAATGGCCTTCAGGAAAAGCACAAGAGCCTGGCCTTCCACCGACCACCATATCACCTGCTGCAGCAACGCGACAGCCAGGATACCAGTGCTGAGCAAAGGTGGATGCCACCCTATGCCATTGCCCTCATGGTGGGGGTGGGCAGCAAGTGGGCAGGGGCTTACCCCTCCTTCCCCTTCCCATAGTGATCATGATGATGAGGTGGCCAGCCTCGCCTCTGCTTCAGGAGGCTTTGGCACCAAAGTTCCTGCTCCACGGCTACCTGCCAAGGACTGGAAGACCAAGGGATCCCCTCGAGCCTCACCCAAGCTCAAGAGGAAAAGCAAGAAGGATGATGGGTAGGGAGGAGTCCTAGGGAGAGAGGAGGGTGGTCTCCAGGCTTCCTGACGTAGCCTGAGGTACTTCTTGCTTGTGGCAGGGATGCGGCCATGGGATCCCGGCTCACAGAGCACCAGGTAAGTGAATGAGCGCACTTTGTACTCATGGTAATTTCACCCTGTGAGGATGGGGAAGGGCTCTGGGCCATTCCCTGGTCTAGTTTGTGGGGATGGGTGGGGCAGGCATCATGTGACTCTCAGTGCTACTGGTAGGTGGCAGAGCCCCCTGAGGACTGGCCAACGCTAATTTGGCAACAGCAGAGAGAGCTGGCAGAGCTGCAGCACAGCCAAGAAGAGCTGCTGCAGCGTCTGTGTACCCAACTTGAAGGTCTGCAGAACACCGTCACAGGCCACGTAGAACGTGCCCTTGAGACTCGGCACGAGCAGGAGCGTATCCTTGAGGCTGGTAGCACAACATGGCATAGGGATGGGGGCAGCATTCTTGGCCTGGGAAGGAGTACACAACCTGCTCCAGGCCTGTTCCTTAGCTACGGCGCAGAGCGGCGGCTGGAGCGAGCACTGGCTGAGGGGCAGCAGCGGGGAGGGCAGCTGCAGGAGCAGCTGACTCAACAGTTGTCCCAGGCACTGTCTTCAGCTGTAGCTGGGCGGCTAGAGCGCAGCTTACGGGATGAGATCAAGAAGACAGTCCCTCCATGTGAGTTTTGCATACAGACTCTCTTTGGGTGGTTCAGGTGGGAGTAGGGGTACCTGTCAAGTTACTCCTGGCTCCACCTTCTCCTATTCCCCTCTCCCAGGTGTCTCAAGGAGTCTGGAGCCTGTGGCAGGCCAACTGAGCAACTCAGTAGCCACCAAGCTCACAGCTGTGGAGGGCAGCATGAAAGAGAACATCTCTAAGCTGCTCAAGTCCAAGGTGCTATAGGGCCCAAGATGTGGGTGGAGGTGGTGGTTTTGGCCTAGTCAGGCCAGGCTGTGCTCAGGCTTTCAACTTGGCCCCTCCCTCTAATTCCAGAACTTGACTGATGCTATTGCCCGAGCAGCTGCAGACACATTACAGGGGCCGATGCAGGCTGCCTACCGAGAAGCCTTCCAGAGTGTGGTGCTGCCGGCCTTTGAGAAGAGCTGCCAGGCCATGTTCCAACAAATCAATGATAGCTTCCGGGTGGGGACACAGGAATGTGAGTGGGGTCATATGGCCCAAGGTGGGAACGACTATCCTCCGCTTTCTTACTGTTCCTCTTATACTCCCTGTGGTCACCCCTCAGACTTGCAGCAGCTAGAAAGCCACATGAAGAGCCGGAAGGCACGGGAACAGGAGGCCAGGGAGCCTGTGCTGGCCCAGCTGCGGGGCCTGGTCAGCACACTGCAGAGTGCCACCGAGCAGATGGCAGCCACTGTGGCCAGCAGTGTTCGGGCTGAGGTGCAGCACCAGCTGCACGTGGCTGTGGGCAGGTGTGTGGGCAGGGTGATGGTTTTGAGGAAGGCCAGATTGGGCTCCCTGTCCACTTCACCTCACTCACTTACCTTTGCAGCTTGCAGGAGTCCATTTTAGCACAGGTACAACGCATTGTTAAGGGTGAGGTGAGTGTGGCGCTCAAGGAGCAGCAGGCTGCTGTCACCTCCAGCATCATGCAGGCCATGCGTTCAGCTGCTGGCACACCTGTCCCCTCTGCCCACCTTGACTGCCAGGCCCAGCAAGCCCATATCCTCCAGCTGCTGCAGCAGGGCCATCTCAATCAGGCCTTCCAGCAGGTACGATAGGTGTTAGGTCCTGGTAAGGGTCATGTGTCTCTTGACAAGGCCCACACATCATACATTCCACTCCACCCACCAGGCTTCGTACCTTCTGGCCCCAGCAGAGTGTTCTTGGTTTCCCTTGGCCTCCAGGCCATTGTCCCTGCTGCTTCCTCTTCCTGGACCCCTTTCTGCCCACCTAGCCCACCTTGCTTTACAGCTATCCTTCTCAGGAACCATTTCTTGATCCCCTAGGGTAACTACATGGCCCTACAGGGCTCTCTCTGGGCCCCTCTGGAGCTCTCACTAGCCCACCCTGTGGTCATCTGCCCCTAGGCCACACAGTTCAGACAAGCAGACATTCCATCCTGATGTTCACTGTGAATGCTGCTGCTTTTTTCTCCTCCAGGCCCTAACAGCTGCTGACCTGAGCCTAGTGCTGTATGTGTGTGAAACTGTGGACCCAGCACAGGTTTTTGGGCAACCACCCTGCCCGCTCTCCCAGCCTGTGCTCCTTTCCCTCATTCAGCAGCTGGCGTCTGACCTTGGCACTCGAACTGACCTCAAGCTCAGGTAAGTGTGGGCAATCAGGGACAGGGAGATGAGCTGTGGGGTGGGGTCTTTGGAGGGGGCAGTTTGAAGCTGACACCCACTTATGCCTGAATCTCCTCCCTAATTTTCTTCACCAATCCCCTCTGCCCTCTCACCCCGGGGGTTCCCTCTGGGCGTCGGTGCCACTAGGGGGCGCTCCCATCTGCTGGCACCCACCTGTAGCCTGTTCTTTCCCTGCTATCCCCAGCTACCTGGAAGAGGCCGTGATGCACCTGGACCACAGTGACCCCATCACTCGGGACCACATGGGCTCTGTTATGGCCCAGGTGCGCCAAAAGCTTTTTCAGTTCCTGCAGGCTGAGCCACACAACTCACTTGGCAAAGCAGCCCGGCGTCTCAGCCTCATGCTGCATGGCCTTGTGACCCCTAGCCTCCCTTAGCTGCCAAGCCTGCCTTGCCCAGGGGTGGGATGGCACTGAAGGCCAGCAAACAGGCCTAGGTTGAGGCAGAGTTGTGGCTGGCTTTTACTTGCTCAGGCCCCCATCTCTGGGGTGTTTGGGGGTCAGGGAGCAGGGAGCACTGGCTGTGGTCTACAGGGTGTGGTAGTCAGCAGGTTTAGGCTGGGCCCAGGGCAGGTATTGAGCCTTCTTGGGTTCTGCCATGCCTGGAGCATGACTGCGAGATCGTGACACCACTTGAGTGGAATTTTCCATGTTCCTTTTTACCTCTGATTTGGATCTTTTTGTTTTTGAAAAACATTGAGAAATTCAATTAAATATGCTTTTGGAATAAAATGAAGTATGTGTGTGCTTTTGGTCTGTCTTCGGTGTGACTCTCATAACTGCCCTCTGTCCCCTGCCCTTCTCTTCCCCATGGAGCTCTGTATAGGCCAATCCAGCCAAAGGGCTGGGTTACCTACTCATCTACTCCATCTGTCTTCCCAGATTTACCTTCTCCTTCTTTCTATGGGGTGAGGGTCCAGGGGCCTGCTCAGCACCATCCTGTGCCCCTGGGAATTTCTGCTTTCATGAGGTTCCTTTGCTCCTTTACCAATCTGAGTATTGGAGGCGGAGCCACCGGCTGGCTTCGGAGCCCCACCCCCGGCTCCCATCCAATCACCGTCCCTTCCTCCGGGGGGCTGGGTGGACGGGCTATACTCCTAGCAGCTAGCTCCCGCACTAGGCTCTCAGCCAGGGATGATGCGCCGCTGCCGCTGCTGCCGCCGCTGCCAGCAACCACCCCGTGTCCTGAGGCCGCTGCTGTTGCTGCCCCTCGGTGAGTGTGGGCGTCCGGGGCCCAGGCCACACTTCCTCTCGCCCAGCCAGGCCAGGCCGGGTATAGGGTGTGTGGGAACGCTGGGTGCCAGGGTGGAGAAGAGTTGCAAGGGCTCCAGGAAGGTGTGCTGGTGACTTCAGGACAGAAAGTCAGAGGCACAAACAGCTCCAGTTATGGGAGAAGGACTCCAAAATTTGCATCCCCTCTTCTGATAAAGGGAGCCATGCCAAAAGCAGGACTTATAGACCAGCCCTAGGATCCCTAAGTCCTTTCTGAGGATCTGGCCTGGATCCCAATACCTCTTTATCCTGCCCTGTCTCTCCAAAAAATACCTATCTTTGGAGAGAGTTCGCAGAGCCAAGCAAAGCTTGTCTAAATTGCAGAGAGATGCACCTGTTCCTGTTTCTGGTCCTCCGGATCCCCCTCCCCTCCACCCTGTCTTAACTCCTTCACATGGACCCTTCTCACCTCACCTGGGGCCCCAGAAGCTCAGGGGAAGAGCTGACTTGGGGGACATAATACTCCCTCCCCCTGTACAAATCCCAGTGCGGTTCCTAACCTTGAAGAGGGCCTGGGTAGGTTAGGCCCAGACTTGCCCTTTAGTTCCCTGGGGCACCCTTTTCCCACTGAGTCACATCCCCAGAGTGCTCCCAGGTAAACAAGCCCCTGGGGGCTGGGGGATGGGCCTGGCTCATCCTATCTACTGGTCTACCCTCTCATCCCACCGCTGCCCCACTTCTAGTCCTTGTACCTCCCCTGGCAGCAGCTGCAGCAGGCCCAAACCGCTGTGACACCATATACCAGGGCTTTGCCGAGTGTCTCATCCGCCTGGGGGACGGCATGGGCCGCGGAGGCGAGCTGGAGACCATCTGCAGGTACTGGCGGGTGCAAGGCAGTGGCCCAACCTGTGCCACCATCGGGGACTGACCTTTTATTTCCCAAGCCGGAGTCTCTTTGCCTCACCTAATCCCCCTAATCCTACTCCCTTAACAGGTCTTGGAATGACTTCCATGCCTGTGCCTCTCAGGTCCTGTCAGGCTGTCCGGAGGAGGCAGCTGCAGTGTGGGAGTCACTACAGCAAGAAGCTCGCCGGGCCCCCCACCCGAATAACTTGCACACGCTGTGCGGCGCCCCAGTGCGTGTTCAGGAGCGCGGCACAGGCTCCGAAACCAACCAGGAGACACTGAGGGCAACAGCGCCTGCATTCCCCATGGCCCCTGCACCCCTGCTGCTGGTGGCTGCTCTAGCCCTGGCTTACTTCCTGGGGCTTCTGTCCTAGCCTGTCAGGTCAGGTGGCAGTGCCCAGGCCTCCAGCCTTGCTCTGGCAGTGGTTGTCCAGGCTCTGCAGAGCGCAGCAGGGTTTTTCATTAAAGGTATTTATATTTGTACTAAGCTCCTTCCTTTCTCCCAGCTGTGGCCTTGCTTGGCTGGGGCTGGAGACTCCCAGAAACTGATCCTCAGCTTGGATGGGATGGGCGGGGCTGAGGGCCACCACAGGGGACTCAATCTTCTTATAAACACTCATTTCCCAGTGGCAGCCCAAAGCTTTCCATTTCGTGCAGGTCCCAAGAGCTCCTCCGGTGGAGACTGGAGATCTGCCAGAATGCAGTCTTCCTGTACCATCCTGTGCTGGCTGGGGTTGGGAGGGTGGGGTCTCAGCCCTGCACTCCTAGCACGGCCTACCCCTTCTATCCTGGCCCCTGGGGGCCAGATCCGAGGGGTTGAGTACCCTTGATCCCAGCTCTACCCCCTCCCCAGCTTCCTGCTCCTGACCATCTCACGTCCTCCTCCCTCTGCCTGTCACTTCAGCCTTCAAGGGACAGCACAGACTATGTGCTCAGTGCCTTCCTCTGGGTTTCTGGTCTATCTAAGGGAGGCCTGTTCTAGAAGGTGGGGAGCCTCTGTTGAAGTCCGCATTCAAGCCCCTGATGTGACCTGAAGTGGCAAAAACTGGAGTCACCATAAGGGTTCCTCTGGCCTCTGCTCTCCACAAGCTTGTTCATTGAGAAGAGGTAGGCAGTGTGCGGTCAAAACAATCGCAGAAGGCTTTCTGGAAGCCATGTAATGAGAGCATGTGGTGTGTGAGGAGCCCCGCTTCATACAGGTGGAAAGGAAGAGCAAAATCAGCATAGGCAGAACCGAGGAAGGAGGAGGCCTTCTAGGGGTGGGGCCCTCTTCTGATCAGCCTTCTCCCACCACTGCCAGGATCCTATTCCAAGCCATCACGCACGGTTTCAGCGACACTGTCTTAGTCTCCTCATCGACTTCTATTATCGCTCCCTCCGCTTTATTCTTTTTTTTTTTTTTTTTTCTTGAGATGGAGTCTCATTCTTGTCGGCCAGGCTGGAATGCAGTGGCGTGATCTTGGCTCACCGCAACCTCCACCTCCCGGGTTCAAGCAATTCTTCTGCCTCAGCCTCCCTAGTAGCTGGGATTACAGGTGCCTGCCATCACGCCTGGCTAATTTTGTATTTTTAGTAGAGACAGGTTTTGCCATATTGGCCAAGCTGGTCTCGAACTCCTGAACACGGGTGATCCAACCCCTTTGCCCTCCCAAAGTGATGGGATTGCAGGCATGAGCCACCATGTTTGGCCTTATTCCTTACTTTCTAAATTGAAAAATTCAGCCAGGCACTGTGGCTCATGCTTACAGTGTCACCTCCTCCAGGAACTATTCCTTAACCCTGACTACAAGCTGAAATCAGAAGGCTCCTCTAGTTCTACACAGTTCCTGGATTCTCTTCTGCCTCAAGCTAGTGATAGCACTAGCTTGTTATTGTCTAGTTACAGGTCAGAATTCCCCACTGTGGACTCCCCAAGGGCAGGAAGTCCTTTTTGTCAGAATCCTCACTGTGTCTCTAGCATCCAGCCTAGGACTGGATATAAAGGGTGCACTTGTGGGAGGGTGTGGAATGAAAGTCCATCACGGTTAGCTGGGCATGGTGGCACGTGCCTGTAATCCCAGCTACTAAGGAGGCTGAGGCAGGAGAATTGCCTGAACCCAGGAGGCGGAGGTTGCGGTGAGCCGAGATCACGCCATTGCACTCCAGCCTGGGTAACAAGAGCAAAACTCCGTCTCAAAAAAAAAAGAAAGTCCATCACGGGTAGTGCTATAGTCAGCAAGAGCTTGGACTGAGAATGACCCAGTGTGGAGGTGTGTCATCTTTGGGTGGCACCTTCACTTTGGGCATACTGCTGGGAAGATGGTGCTGGGGCTATATACCCCAGAAGTCTTCCAGAGCTGGTACTGGGTGACCAGGAGCAGGGGCCTGGCTGTTCTGGCCAACCATCAGGGAGATTACCATCCTCCTGCTGTGACCTACTTTTCCCCTGGTTTTTGCTCCCTAAGGCCCTACTCTTCTATGGAATAGAGGGGGGCTTAGGGAGGGGGAAAAGAATCTGCTTTCTGGCCAGGGGCTTAAGGGCTTTGTGCGTTTTATCCTAGAGCTGGGGGAGAGGGGTGGGCTGATAGCCACGCTAGCTGGGCCCTGGGCACAGCTGCCCAGGCCAGAGTATCATGGTGATGGTGTTTCTCACATTTGCAGCACTGTGGACAAGGAGTAGCTTATTGTTCTGAGAGAGCCTGGGGGATGGATGTCCTGGGCCCAGTCCCCTCTCCATTCATATATCTTTTCACCTCAGGGCCTCCCTCTTGCTCTTCTCCGGAGCCCAGACCAGCACCTGAACATAGTAAGGGTTCAATAAATATTTGTTAATTAGCTGAATATCTGTAAAATAGGAATGTTGTGTGGATTTCTGAGTGCCATCACCCTGGAATTCACATTACTTTTAATGTTCACAACTTTTTTTTTTTTTTTGAGACAGTCTCATTCCGTCGCCAGGCGCCAGGCTGGAGTGCAATGGCACGATCTCAGCTCACTGCAACCTCCACCTCCTGGGTTCAAGCAATTCTGCTTCAGCCTCCAGAGTAACTGGGACTACAGGTGCACGCCACCATGCCCAGCTAATTTTTGTATTTTTATTAGAGACGGTGTTTCACCATGTTGCCTAGGGTGGTCTCAATCTCTTGACCTTGTGATACACCCACCTCGGCCTCCCAAAGTGCTGGGATTACAGGCATGGACCACCGCACCCGGCAAACTTTCACAACTCTTTAAGGTCAGGATTATGACCCTCCTCCTTATTTTTTATTTAATTTTTTGAGACAAAGTCTCATTCTGTCACTCACGCTGGGGTGCAGTAACCCAATCCAGGTTCACTGCAGCCTTGACCACCTGGGCTCAAGTGATTCACTAGCCTCAGCCCCTTGTGCAGCTAGGACTGTAGGTGTGTGCCACCACGCCCAGCTAATTTTATTTTATATTTTTGCAGAGACAGGGTCTCATTATGTCACCCAGGCTGGTCTCGAACTCTTGGCCGCAAGCGATCCTCCTGCCTCAGCCTCCCAAAGTGTTGAGATTACAAGCACTGGGCCATCCTCATTATATAGCCAGGAAAAATGAGGCTTAGGGCTCCGTGCAGTGATCTATGCCTGTAATCCCAACACCTTGGGGAGGCTAAGGTAGAAGGATCACTTGAGGCCCTGTCTAAATAAATAAATAAACAGGCTGGGCACAGTGGCTCACACCTGTAATCCCAGCACTTTGGGAGGCTAAGGTGGGCAGATTACCTGAGGTCAGGAGTTTGAGACCAGCCTGACCAACATGGAGAAACCCTGTCTCTACTAAAAATACAAAATTAGCCGGGCATGGTGGTGCATACCTGTAATCCCAGCTACTCAGGAGGCCGAGGCCAGAGAATTGCCTGAATCTGGGAGGTGGAGGTTGTGGTGAGCTGAGATCGCACCATTGCACTCCAGCCTGGGCAACAAGAGTGAAACTCTGTCTCAAAAAAATAAAAATAGGGCCAGGCGCGGTGGCTCACGCCTGTAATCCAGCACTGTGGGAGGCCGAGGCAAGTGAATCACGAGGTCAGGAGACTGAGACCATCCTGGTCATGGTGAAACCCTGTCTTTATCAAAATACAAAAAATTAGCTGGGTATGGTGGCTCCCGCCTGTAGTCCCAGCTACTCAGGAGGCTGAGGCAAGGGAATCACTTGAACCTGTGAGATGGAGGTTGCAGTAAGCCAAGATCGTGCCACTGCACTCTAGCCTGGTGACAACGCAAGACTCTGTCTCAAAAATAAATAAAAATAAATAAGTCAGGCATGGTGGTGTGTGCCTGTAGACTCAGCTGTTTGGGAGGCTGAGGCAGGAGGATCCTTTGAGCATAGGAGTTTGAGGTTACAGTGAGCTTTGATCTCCAGCCTGGACGACAGAGCAAGACCCTGTCTCTATTAAAAATAACAATAATAATAAAAAAAAAAAAGGCTGGGTGCAGTGGCTCATGCCTGTAATCCCAGTACTTTGGGAGACCGAGGTCACCCGATCACCTGAGGTCAGGAGTTCAAGACCAGCCTGGCCAAAAAAAAAAAAAGGCTGATGAGGCAGATGTCTTCCTTAAAGTCAAACAGCTACGGAGGTGTCAGAACTGAGGTTTGATCTCAGGTTTGTTTGGCCCCAAAGTCTATACCCTTAATTATCACACTGGAGTTTTGGAAACAATTTTTTAACTTTTTTTTTTTTTTTTTAAACCACTAAGATCCTAGGAAACAATTTTTTTTTTTTTTTTTTTTGAGACAGAGTTTCGCTCTTGTTACCCAGGCTGGAGTGCAATGGCGCGATCTCGGCTCACCGCAACCTCCGCCTCCTGGGTTCAGGCAATTTTCCTGCCTCAGCCTCCCGAGTAGCTGGGATTACAGGCACACACCACCATGCCCAGCTAATTTTTTGTATTTTTAGTAGAGATGGGGTTTCACTATGTTGACCAGGACGGTCTCGATCTCTTGACCTTGTGATCCACCCGCCTCAGCCTCCCAAAGTGCTGGGATTACAGGCGTGAGCCACCGCGCCCGGCCTTTTTTTTTTTTTTTAAGGCAGAGTTTTGCTCTTGTCGCCCAGGCTGGAGTACAGTGACGATCTCGGCTCACTGCCATCTCTGCCTCCCCTGTTCAAGCTAGTCTCCTGTCTCAGCCTTCAGAGTAGCTGGGACTACAGGCGCCTGCCACCATACCCAGCTAATTCTAATTTCTGTATTTTTAGTAGAGACGGGGTTTCACCTTGTTGGTCAGGCTGCTCTTGAACTCCTGACCTCAGGTGATCCGCCCACCTTGGCCTCCCAAAGTGCTGGGATTACAGGCATGAGCCACTGTGCTGGGCTGACGACAATGTTTTATTGATGTTAATTTATTTTTATGTTTAAAGTATAACACTAGCTTATACAATCAAAGACAGTTCCATGTGCAAATACACACAATAAAGATTTGAATACATGAGCCACTGAAATGGGGAAGATGGGTGGAGGTTACAATACCCTTACCGTCTGCAGCAGCTATTTTTCTTCCTCCAAGTTGGGTTGATTGTAAAGTGAACCAGTTCTCATCCTATAGAGGTCATTGTGAATGGTGACAATTTTTTAATTCGCTTGCTTTTCAGACTCGGGATATAAATTAAATTAAAAAAACAAATAACCAAGAGTCCAGGAGTTGGCCCAACATTGACTTCACCAATTCACAAGTTAACCATTTGCAACTCTTCTTTGATGGAGGCCAAATTCAACACATGGAGTGTCTAAAATTATTCTAATTGCAGTTTTAAAAAATAGATTTTGTTAATGAAATTTAAGTCGATCCTTTGCGGAGTTCCGGAAGCACTTCCAGAAACCTCTGTTGGAAAGCATTGTTTACCCAGCCTCGCACTACAGTCCCTTTCCCCCAATCAGAAACTTGAATCTTTCTCCCTACTTCCCTTGATTCCTCCTCTTCCTATCAGCGATCGGTCCCGCAGGCAGCGGTCAAGTTACTTTGAGCGACAAATAGACCCACCCCCTCAGGAGAGTGTTCGTCTCCGCCCCGAAGAGGTTGATTGGCAGGCCACGCTCAGAGATCCGCCAACCTGGTAGCCTGGCTTCGGGAGAATCCACCCCCTTCCCGCCCCATAGGTTTGTTTTGGCGTCAGCCGCGCTCTGTGATGACGCCAAGACGCTAACGCCCGAGAATGGCGGCGGCGGCGGTGGCGGCGGCCACTGCCCGGAGATGGCCCGCAGAGCCGCCAAGACGCCGAAGAGCCCGCCGCCCGCGCGAGGTGAGGCGGCCCGGCCCAGGGCGACGGCCCGACGGGCGGGAGGGGCAGCCGAACTGTGGCCGTGGTCGCTTTCTGGCGCACAGGGGCCTGCCCCTGGTCAGCCCGTAGCCTCGGCCTTTGCCCGGTGCGCCAGGGCCTCCAGGGTCGGAGAGCAGGCCGGGCGATGGCTGCTCGGGGTCCGCGGCGTCCGAGTCTGGACTGGCTTCGAAACGTGCTGTTGTGCTGGGTAGCCCGTCTCTAGGCCCGCGTGGGCCTGGTGGACGTGCTTGGCTGCCCTGCCTGGTTGCTGTTCAGCTGCCCCGCGTCCAGAGCGGGTCAGGTTTATCCAACCCGCTTGTCCTTACTGTCTTCTGGCGTCTGGCTCCTACTCCACACCCATCCTCTGCGTCTGCCAGGGGCCGGCAGGGCAGCTGATCGCTTCCTTGTGCAGGCTGGGAAAAAGCAGATCTGAATCCAGCTGGGTTGCCTGCTTGGCAAGCTTGTCATTCCTCTACCTGCAAGGAGAAACCTAGCCCCCCCGCCCCACACTTAGTCCCCCTCCATAAAACGGTTGAAGTGGTAATTCCCACCTGGAAATCTGAATAAGCTCTTTACTGCCTGAAACTGGTTCCTTAGTGCCTTCAGGACAAAAGCCAGATTTTATTTTTTTTGGAGACAGAGTCTTACTCTGTCGTCAGGCTGGAGTGCAGTGGTGCAATCTCAGTTCACTGCAACCTCTGCCGCCCGCGTTCAAGCGATTCTCCTGCCTCAGCTTCCCCAGTAGCTGGGACTACAGGCTCGCGCCACCATACCCAGATAATTTTTTGTATTTTTAGTAGAGACGGGGTTTCACCATGTTGGCCAGGGTTTTCTCAATTTCTTGACCTCATGATCCGCCCGCCTCAGCCTCCCAAAGTGCTGAGATTACAGGCGTGATCCACCACGCCTGGCCCAAAGACCACACTTCTTAGCAAGGCAGTCAGGGCTCTTCATGATGTGGTGAAGGCCTAACCAGCCAATAAACACCAGAGCACTTCTGTGCTCCCTTTACATAGTTTATTGTTAAAGCATGTGGCCCTCCTGTTAGCTCTGTGGTTTCATACCTTCGTGATGTATTATTACTAATTTTGAGACAATGTCTCTTTTGTCCAAGCTGGAGTGCAATGGCTCACTGCAGTCTTGAACTCTTGGACTCAAGTGATCCTCCTGCCTCACCCTCCTGAGTAGCTGAGACAACAGGTGTGTCCCATCACGTCTGGCTAAGTTTTAAAATTTTTTGTAGAGCCTGGGAGTCTCGCTTTGTTGCCAGGGCTGGCTTCAAACAACCTTCTTGCCTAGGCTCTCAAAGTATTGGGATTATTAATACAGGCGTGAGCCACTGTGGTTAGTCCCCTTGTGCTTTAGATACGCAGTTTTCTCAGTTTGCAATACCCTGCCTTCCACCCCGCCACCCACCACCACCTACCAGTGTTGTAAACTTACATCTGTCCTATAAAATCCACCAGAGATGTCACTTCCTAGGAAAAAAATCTCCTTTACTTCACGTGTAACCATTAACTCCTCTAATATCCATGCTGCTACTATTGAGTACATTCTGTTGTGTCACATGGTGGTCTGTCTGCATATGTCTGGCTCTGTGCCTAGCACATAAGTCAGTAGGTTGCTGACTTATGAATGGATACATCTTCAGCCGTATTATTGAGCACCTATCAGGGCTAGGATCTGAGATGACGATAGCAAATGCAAGCATATGTGTGTGGTAGGTGGTACAGCCTCTTAAACCTAGGTGGTCCAAAATCTGGGGTAACTTTGTGATAGAAATTCAAGAGTCTCACTGTCTGAGATTTTTTTTTTTGTGACGGAGTTTTGCTATTTTTGTCCAGGCTGGAGTGCAATGGCACCATCTTGGTTCACTGCAACCTCTGCCTCCCAGGTTCAAGTGATTCTCCTGCCTCAGTCTCCAGAGTAGCTGGGATTACAGGCAAGCACCACTACACCTGGCTTATTTTTGGATTTTTAGTAGAGACAGGGTTTCACCATGTTGACCAGGCTGGTCTCGAACTCTTGACCTCAAATGACCCACCTGCCTCAGCTTCCCAAAGTGCTGGGATTACAGGTGTGAGCCACTGCACCTGGCCGAGATTTTTTTTTTTTTTTTTTAAACAGACGGGGCCGGGTGTGGTGGCTCACGCCTGTAATCCAAGCACTTTGGAGGCCAAGGCGGGAGGATCACCTGAGGTCGGGAGTTCAAGACCAGCCTGACCAACATTGTGAAACCCCGTCTTTTTTTTTTTTAGATAAAAAAATAAACAGAGACAGGTCTTGCCATGTTGCCTAGGCTGGTGTTGAACTCCTGGGCCCAAGCAGTCCTCCCACATTGGCCTCCTAAAGTTTTGGGGTTACAGGCATGAGCCACTGCACCTGGCCCACTCAGATTTTGATGAAGATCTAGGGTAGCAATCTGTATTTTGTTATCTCTTTTTTTTTTTTTTTTTTTGAGACGGAGTTTTGCTCTTGTTACCCAGGCTGGAGTGCAATGGCGCGATCTCGGCTCACCGCAACCTCCGCCTCCTGGGTTCAGGCAATTCTCCTGCCTCAGCCTCCTGAGTAGCTGGGATTACAGGCACGCGCCACCATGCCAAGCTAATTTTTTGTATTTTTAGTAGAGACGGGGTTTCACCATGTTGACCAGGATGGTCTCGATCTCTTGACCTCGTGATCCACCCGCCTCAGCCTCCCAAAGTGCTGGGATTACAGGCGTGAGCCACTGCGCCCGGCCGTTTTTTTTTTTTTTTTTTTTAGATAGAGTCATCTTCTGTTGCTCAGGCTGGAGGGCAGTGGCGTGATCTCTGTTCACTGCAGCCTCCGCTTCTCAGGTTCAAGCGATTATTCTGCCTCAACCTCCAGAGTAGCTAGGATTACAGGCATGTGCCACCGTGCCCGGCTAATTTTTGTATTCTTAGAAGAGATGGGGTTTCATCATGTTGGCCAGGCTGGTCTTGAACTTTTGACTTCGTGATCCACCCGTCTCGGCCTCCCAAAGTGCTGGGATTACAGGCATGAGCCACTGCACCCAGCCAGGAATCTTTATTTTGAAAAAAATTGCCAGGTAACTTTACTGTGTTTCCTCATTGCAGATCTTTGTCGTTGCCTAAGAACACTGTAGTCTCTCTTGTCCAGTAAGAAGGGCTTGCCTTATGGACTTCTCTTGTGGTCTCATTCCTAGAATCATGGGCTTTGGTGTCAGAAAGACTTGGATCAGTTTCTGGCTTTTCTGAAATCTTGAGGCTAAGTCCTAATTTCCTTATTCCAGAATAGGAATAATCATGCCTACTACATGTGCTTGTAGAGAGGGCTGAGATGGTACATATAAGATGCGTAGCATAGTTGACACTCGGTTAATGGAAGCCACTTTTACTACTAATGGCTTCTCTTCCCAGAGTTTCTCTTGTCAAAAGAAGGCCTTGGTCTGTCACCCAGGCTGGGGTGCAGTGGCATGAGTTCGGCTCACTGCAACCTCCGCCTCCTGTGTTCAAACAATTCTCGCCTCAGCCTCCGGAATAGCTGGGACTACAGACACCCGCCACCATACCCAGCTAATTTTTGTATTTTTAATAGAGACGAGGTTTTATCGTACTGGTCAGGGTAGTCTCAAACTGTTAATCTCAGGTGATCCACTCACCTCAGCCTCGCAAAGTTCTGGGATTACAGTGTGAGCCACCGTGCCTGCCAGAAGGGCTGGGCTTGTCCTAATAAGCTTGTTTGTTCTTCAGGCTGAGTTGTGTGTAGGAAGCTGCTTTTTATTATATGATTTCCTCAAAGTCATTTCTGGTCATCGGGGAAAACTGACAATACTATGTTTCTTTTTTGTTTGTTTGTTTGTTTTTGAGATGGAGTTTCGCTCTTGTTGCCCAGGCTGGAGTACAACAGTGCCACCTCTGCTCACCACAACATCTGCCTCCTGGGTTCAGCTGATTCTCCTGCCTCAGCCTCCTGCAATACTGTGCTTCTAATCAGGGTAGATTTGGTTGGCCATACCCCTAGAAGAGATTTGGAATCCTGACTCACTAAGGGGTAGGTTTGCTGAATAAGCACATTGTCTAGGTCTAATTATATTTTGCACTTGTTAAGTTGTATAAGTGAGCTGGAAAAAGTGCAGCCTTCAGGAAACCTGTTTGCATCTGACAGAGCTGCAGTTGCACTTCACCTCAGACGTCTGCTTGGCATCTAGAACAGAATGCCCCTATAGATCCTACTGTCTGTGAAATCTGAAGTAGGTGCTGGAGTTCTCTATCAATCACAAGTTCATGGTGAAATGAGTGAAACCTTGGTTTGGCCTTCTGTTTTACTTGGGAAGTGTGTGTGTGTAATATGGGCAACTTAGAGCCTCTTCACAGCTTCCCAGCTGTATGATGTGAATGGGCTATAGGTGTGCACAAAGTATCGACCCTTAAGCTTCAGGATAGTTGAGAACAGCTGTCTCCACTGACTCCAGGGTGTTATACAATAGTATCATTCTGTCATTCTCTGTGTATATCTTGGCATGGGGAAAAATTTTTGAGAGAAGTACAGCCCTGGAAGAAGGGAAGCAGTTCTGTTTGTTGAGAGCTAGAGAGAAACTTATTTATTTGAACTCCCTTTCTTTCCAGGAATCTTAGTGAATATTAAGCTGGTTTGTGTTGGCTAGGTCATCATTGAGCTAATTCTTGGTACAGCCCTCTGTTGCCATGGTGCCTATTGTGATGCTAAGGTAGAAAATGTGATGTTTTCATTTGCTGGGAGAAAGTTTTCTTTCCAAGTTGCCAGCCTTGAAATGGCCTCTCAGGGCATCCTAAGAGTCATGGATCAAGGGACTCTTGGTGTGGAACCATACGAGTTGTAAGTTCCTTGAGAGTAGAGACTATGGCTGCCTTCTTTTTGTTTGTCACAACCCCTGGCAGAGTTCCTGACCCACAGCAGGAATTCAGCAAGTATTTCTGAGTTGAGCGTTGGGATTTTGGAAGGAGAACCCCAGGTGCATTGCCAGGATCTGTATCTCACTCTGTTGCCCAGGCTGGAGTGCAGTGGCATAATCATAGCTCACTGCAACCTTGCTTTCCCTTGCTCATGTGATTCTCCCACCTCAGCCTCCTGAGTAGCTGAGACTACGGGCACACAGCACCACACTCAGCTAATTTAAAAAAATTTTTTTGTAGAGAGGATGAGACAGGCCGTTTGAAACCAGCCTGGGCAACATGGTGAAACCCTGTCTCTACTGAAAATACAGAAATTAACCAGGTATCCTAGGTACTTGGGAGGCTAAGGCACAAGAATCACTTGAACTCAGGAGGCAGAGGCTTCAGTGAGCCAAGATTGCGCCACTGCACTCCAGCCTGGGTGACAGAGTAAGGCTCTGTCTCAAAAAAAAAAAACAACTTTTTTTTTTTTTTTTTTTTTTTTTTTTAGAGACAAGGTCTTGTTATGTTGCCCAGTGTGGTATCAAACTCTTGGCCTCAAGTGATCCTCATGCCCCAGCCCCCAAAGTGTTGGGATTATAGGCGTGAGGCACTGTGTCTAGCCTTATTTCTGGAATTATTGAGAAATTACTACCTACTTCATTTTGGCAGACAGTTTTTCAAAACATAGCAGTAGAATATAGAGATCTTTGCAGGTGACAGGTTATAAAGCTTTGCTTTGGAGAAAAAAGCATCATGTTGGCCAGACTGGTCTTGAACTCTTGACCTCGTAATCTGCCTGCCTCAGCCTCCCAAAATGCTGCAGTTACAGGCATGAGCCACTCCAGTACATCACTGAGTTGTATTGGAGAGGCCAGGGTGCCTATGAGTCCTTGCCTGGGAGACATTCACAGACCCTGCCGCTCTGGCCAGGAAATTGTTTCAGGATCCATCCTTGCTCCCTGCCCCTGGGCTCCTGGCTTTCTCCACAAATGGGGCTAGGTTTGGCAGCTTGTGAACAAGCTTTGGAGTTCAGATAAGAACTGTAAAATTCGGTTGGGCTTGGTGGCTCATGCCTGTAATCCAAGCACTTTGGAGGCCAAGGAGGGCGGATCACCTGAGGTCGGGAGTTCAAGACCAGCCTGACCAACATGGTGAAACCCCGTCTTATAACAAACAAAAAAAAAGAACTGTAAAATTCAGGCCTGGTGCAGTGGCTCACGCCTGTAATTCCAGCACTTTGGGAGGCCAAGGTGGGCGGATGATGAGGTCAAGAGATTGAGACCATCCTGGCCAACATGTTGAAACCCCATCTCTACTTAAAGTACAAAAGCTGGGCGTGGTTCGTGCACCTGTAGTCCCAGCTACTCTCGAGGCTGAGGCAGGAAAATCACTTGAACCCAGGAGGCAGAGATTGCACTCCAGCCTGGCGACAGAGTGAGACTCTGTCTCAAAAAAAAGAAAAAAATAAAGAATCTGTAAAAACTCAAATAGACTTCCTTCATTGTTGAGGACATTTACAGGGTGTCCAAAGAGTGTGGCTGTGGTTTACGCTGATCTGGCCTCTTCAACATTTCTAAGTTTCTAGAATTGTTGCTTGCAGCAAATAGAAATCCAAGAGCCAGATCACATTTCTTTTTTGTTTTTTGTTTTGTTTTGTTTTGTTTTTGAGATAGAACCTCGCTCTGTCGCCCAGGCTGGAGTACAGTGGTGTGGTCTTGGCTCACTGCAATGTCTGCCTCCCAGGTTGAAGTGATTCTCCTGCCTCAGCCTCTCATATAGTTGGGATTACAGGTGTCCAACATACTTGGCTATCTTTTTTGTATTTTTAGTAGAGACGGGGTTTTACCATGTTTGCCAGGCTGGTTTCGAACTCCTGACCTCAAGTGATCCACCCTCCTTGGCCTCTCAAAGTGCTAGGATTACAGGCATGAGCCACTGCACCTGGCCTGTTTTTCTTTTCTTTTCTTTTTCTTTTTTCTTTTTTTTTTTTTTTTGAGATGGAGTCTTGCTCTGTGTCTCAGGCTGGAGTGCCAGTTGCATGATCTCACCTCACTGCAACCTCCGCCTGCCAGGGTCAAACGATTCTCCAGCCTCAGCTTCCGAGTAGCTGGGATTACGGGTACCCACCACCATGCCTGGTTAATTATTTTGTATTTTTAGTAGAGTCAAGGTTTTACCATGTTGGCTAGACTTGTCTCGAACTCCTGACCTCAGGTGATCTGCCTGCCTTGGCCTTCCAAAGTGCTGGGTTACAGGCATTAGCCACTGTGCCTGGTCAGGCCACATTTCATTTTCTCTGAGTTTAGTACTTTGATAAGTACCAAGGGAGTTCTGGAAACCTGAGAATGGCCCCTTACCTCAAAGGGCTTATGGCTGTAGTGTTCAAAGGCAGTCTGGAGTAGAGCAGTGAGCAGTGTGATGCAGATTGTAGTTGGAATGGAGGTTTCTAAAGCAGACCCTTCAGGAAAGATCCTCAGGAAAGGTTTGTGAGTTCACCAACTTAGTGGCATGGGGAAGGATCTAGGCCTTGATTGGATGAGGCCCAGCACTGCTGGAGTTTTTCCCGAGTGATGGAAGGAGCTCCCGATGGTGATTTGCGTCCAAGAAGCTTAGTCACCATTGTCTGAGTGGCTTTGGTTGAGTCTCTTTACCACTCTTGGCCTGTCATTTCTGTAGAGTGTCAGTGAGGATGGTAGTGCTGAATGCTCACACCCATTGCCACACTCAGTCCAGTGTGCATGCCTTCCTTGAAGAGTGCTTTGGGTCAGGCTGGGAGTTAAGGTGTGGAAGCAGACTCTAGAGAGTTGGGTACTTGCTGCAAGATGGCATAGTGTGACCCTCCTGGGAGGTCTCTTCCTGAAGCCTCCTTACTCATCCTTGCCAATCCCTATACCCACCATGGTCACTGGGCTAGTGGCATGCACAGGAGATGCTGGGAACTGGAAGTCTCTGCTCTTCTTCCTAGGAGCTTTACCAGCCACCTCCCATGTCTCCATATCTGCATTTTCACCTGACCAGTGTGGAGAGGGAGTTTAACATATGTGATCGGAGTATAGAGCAGCTATGATTACCTGGGGGCTGTTGCCCATGGTCCCCATCCCTAAGCCAGCACCCTCTCTTCTTCACCTTCTTTTTTTTCCTTCCCTCTCTTGGCCAATTTAGTTTAATATCATCTCAATCTGTAGTTGGGATGGTGGAGTACCTGCATCAGACCGTCTTTGAAGAGTTTCTGATTGGCATCAATGGGAGAGAAACTATGTCCCAGGAAGAGAGAAGGAAGGTTAGAGGGAAAATCCTTGACTCTCTTATTGCCAACCAACCTAGTTTTGTTTTGATTGATTGATTGGTTTTTCTGTATTTTAAAAAATTTATTTATTTTTGGCCAGGCGCGGTGGCTCACGCCTGTAATCCCAGCACTTTGGGAGGCCGAGGTGGGCAGATCATGAGGTCAGGAGACTGAGACTATCCTGGCCAATATGGTGAAACCCCGTCTCTACTAAAAAATACAAAAATTAGCTGGGCGTGGTGGCGTGTGCCTGTAGTCCCAGCTACTTGGGAGGCTGAGGCAGGAACATTGCTTGAACTCAGGAGGCGGAGGTTGCAGTGAGCCAAGCTCGCACCACTGCACTCTAGCTTGGCACCTGGCAACAGAGCAAAACTCTGTCTCAAAAAAAAAAAAAAAAAATTATTTATTTATTAAAAAATTTTTTTTCTTTTTCAAAGATGGGGTTTCACCATGATGACCAGGCTGGTCTTGAACTCCTAACCTCAGGTGATCCACCCACCTCGGCCTCCCAAAGTGCTAGGGTTGCAGGCGTGAGCCACCGCCCCCAGCAAAAAATTTAGTTATTTTTGAGACGGAGTCTCACTCTGTCACCCAGGCTGGAGTGTAATGGTGTGGTCTCCACCTCTTGGGTTCAAGCAATTCTCCTGCCTCAGCCTCCTGAGTAACTGGGACTACATGTGCATGTCACCACACCTGGCTAAATTTTGTGTTTTTAGTAGAGACGGGATTTCACTATGGTGGCCAGGCTGGTCTTGAATTCCTGACCTTATGATCTGCCCGCCTTGGCCTCTCAAAGTGCTGGGATTACAGGCATGAGTCACTGTGCCCAGCCTATTTATTTATTTTTTAAG